TCTCCCTGGCTGGGTGGCGCAGAACCTCCTGTCTGAGGGCAGGAAGCGAGAGTGGGAAGGCGGCTGTCATGGCGTTGGGGGAAGAGGGCATAGGTCCGCTCTAAGTCTGGCTGTGTCGAACACACCAGTTGTGTTGCGCTCTCAGATGTAATGCTTCAGGAATAGGTGCGAAGGGCAAGACTCCATCCTGCCACGCAGCAGCTGTCCACCTGCGCTGTCTCCCCAAAATCAAGGGGCCTGGGCCTTCAGTTCTTGGAGAGCCGGTCGCTTTTCAGAAAGCAGGTATTTTCATGTATGACCACCCACCTACCAGGAGATCCCCTGCCCCGCGTCAACATCTGATGGAAGATCGTGGTGCCACAGCCAGCCCCAGCCCAGTTCCTCTGTGCAGTCCTTGCTGCATCTGGTGTTAGTTACCTTGATTAACAAAATGCTGATATTTTTATTAAATACAGTTTTAAATAACACGTAACTGATGTTTCTGTCCACAAATACCGATTGTACTGGCAGTGTAATTCACGTCTTTGCTTTTGTTTCTCTTCATACAAATGTTTCCCGTGTGGTTAGGTCTGGCCCTTGCCGGAGGTTATTTTTAGGATTATTTCGTTCTCTTTATTTTAAGTGCGCTCTAGACTTCTGAAACTTTTTTGGCGCACAAAGCCAGTGCTACAGAGGGTGTACAAACTAGGCAGTTTAAAACCTGTTGACCCAGTCAGCCACACGCTAGCATGACGTAGCTGTAACCTTAGTTTCAAAACCTAAAGTGGGAAGTCGAGGAGGTGTAGGCTCCAAATGCGATGCCTGAGCTGCTGGTTTTGATGTTATGTTTAAAATACCATTCTGATGGCCGCCTCTGATTTTGGCCGGAGATGAATCCCTGAGGCCTACAATATTCCAGATGTTTGGGGTTACTGGAGACGAAGAGCATTTGTTCTTAGCTTGCTGCATGGGTGACGAAGCAGAAATTCGTGTGGATAAATGCTGCCCTTAGATTCCTCTTTGAATGTCTAGCTGTTCTCTGAGGTGGAGGCTGCAGGGAAGGTCTCCGCAGCTGGTATGGACACAGTGAAACCAGCAGCTGTGCCTTGAGGTCGTGGCTTGCAGGCAGGTGCTATATTGGGTGTCGTTCATTGACTGTTCATCTTTACACTCCTCTCAGGAGCAGAGCCCGTACGAGATGAGCTAGGTGGTGCTCTCCTGAGAAATGAGGGTTAAAGGCACATCCATGGCAAGGCTCTAGCCAGATCTTGGCAGCTGCTTGTGGTGTCTAGGGTGCTTCTCGGTCCTGCCTGCGGCTTGCCATGAGGTGGTGGCACCTTTGATAGTGACCCATGGGCTGGAGGAGCCGACGGCTGAGCCTGCAGGCCTTGCCCAGACAGTCTGGGACAGGTGCCGTGCCACTCACGCACTTTCCTTGCTTCTGCGGCAGCTTGAGCCACGCAGTTGTGTACCACGGACGTGTAGCCACGTGTTACACCATGGCGTAACCATGGACAGCGAGGAGAACTCAGGTATTTCTCTGAGATCAGATTACTAACCACCCTTTTGTGTACACCAGCAAATGCCTCTGCACGCTGCAGCAGCTGTGCTTCAAACAGCATGGCCGGCTGGCTGTCCTGGGAGCTGCCACCTCACAGTAGCAGATCGTTACAGGATTAATTGCAACGTTGGTTCTATTTCTTTGTTAGCGCAGGTGGTGTTGCCTTGTGCCTGGTAAGACGTGTGTTGAAGTAGGGGAAAACACCCCGGCCTTCACTGAGGTGTGGATCAGGCCTGTTACTGCTCTCCTTGTTCTTCCCTCCTTTCCTTCTGCCGTTGTCGCCTTCCTTTACTATGTCACAACGCAAGCGTGAAGTAGGACACCACATCAGCGACGCTGTGGTTTTGGGAGCCTTTTCTGGCATGTCGGGAGGTCAGAAATGGCCGCTGTCGGTTTACTGGAAGTGTCTGAGTTTGCTGTTCAGAAGAAGGGCTGAGCACAGGGCAGGGTGAGAGGGGCCTCTTGTCCCATGAGCAGTCCGAGGCACTGGATTTTAGGAGAGTGCAAGCCCTGCAAGAGCTCATGTAACCGCTGGGGCGGACTCCAGGTGTGGGGAGTTATTCTGCATCTGGCAGAGTGTGTACTGTACCAGCTTGTACGTTGTCACTTCTGTTCCTAAAGGCATTTTCAGTAAATGTGCAGATCCAGATACAGGAGATGTAAAGCTCCCACCAACAGTGTATTTTTTTTGCCTGGTTCCATCTTATGTATGCATTTAAAATAGTTCACGTAAACCAGCGTGGGTTTTGTTCTTCCAACTTGCAGACTTAGGCCTAGAGACAGAGTTCAGTGCCTGGTACCTGATCTTATTACAATAAAAAATGAAGAGGTGAACCGACCAGCAGCTGTATGGATAGCCCTGAGTGTTTGCCTTAGTTTGTGAGGATGTCTGTGTTGATTCACGCAAGCTCCACTAAACTACATTCCTAACTTCTGACTGATGGCAGTGTTGTTGGCAGGTTTTCAGGTTGTTAGTCTCCTCTGACTAGATGTTGATGCTCTTGCTTGCAACCCTGAAATTGTATGTCTCTCTTGCACATCTGTTATTAATTGACTATATTTTTCCCTGATACTGGATGGCTGCTCTTGTAGCCAATGCGATGAAAGAGTAGCTACTCCAGGCTTCCTACTGTGAGGTTTAAGTAGATAGTGGTGTTGCCTGCAGCTCTAGGAAAACATGACAGGTAAAGCATGGCGAGATGTGACTCAGTATGAGAACATTTTGGATAGGGTGCAAGTTTGAAACACAGTACAGGCAGTGTTCCTTTGAAATTTACAGTAACAGGGGTGTCGCATTTTCCTGTTTTCTTGGAGCAGTCACATACAAATCTTTTTTTTTTTTTTTCTATAAAGCAAAAGCTGGCAGGCTGACAAACGGGCAGTTTACAGGACGGACTCTCTGGCTACTGACCATTTAGCTGGTAAGTTCTTATTTTGGAAGAGCCAAAAATCTTTCTGTTGCTGAGCTTGCTTATCAGAGTGGCTATCAGAGTGGCTTTCCGAGTGTATCCCTAAGTCAGCGGGAGTTCAGGCACCTAAATAAGTCTTTTTCAGGAAGAAGCAGCATCCTGGGCCATTTTTGTTTTCTCTCCAGGGTTACACAATGATCTTGGACTGACTGTCCAGACCTTTGGATACTCGTTTAAAAATTTCACACCATTAATAATTGATAGATTAATTAGACTATGCTTTAACAACTTCTGGTGTCCCCCTTTCCAGCAACCTTAGATTGCACATCCTCTGCCTTCTTGATGGGGAGCTGTGGTTTTGGTGACCTCTGTGCTGTGAGGAAATATCCCCCTGAGTTCCTGTCTGGTTCAGCAAGAGAACTGGGCAGCCAACTGGCACTCTAGGTGCTTTTCAAGAGGGTGACTGGAAAAGTGCTCAGTAACACATACTTTGTCTTCCTGGAGTGACTTTTGTGCATCTTGAATGGTGTTGGTAATGGCGTCGCCACCTCTGTCTCTTCTAGTGGCATACCCGGATTGTGTGTGGGTGGGAAGTCGACAATGAGCTCCGTGGCAGTTTTGACCCAGGAGAGCTTCGCTGAACACCGCAGCGGCCTGGCTCAGCAGCAGGTGAAAGGTGAGAAAACAGTTGAGTTCCTGTGATGTGCCTCTAAACACAGACTGCACAGGCAAGGTTCCTTGCTGTTACCCAAGCTCGCTCCACATGTCTGGTTCCCCACAAGTGCACAGACGTTGCATTCTCCATTCCTAGATTGGTGGCCTGCCAAACTGGCTTTCCAGCACCAGCAGCCCAGTGGCGATGCTGCACAGTGCAGGGCCAGGAGGAGGCAAGCCTCAGTTCTTCATAGACCCCTGGCTAGCAATGCGGTCAGCCGTGGGACGGGGCATGTGCAGGAGTGGGGCGTTGGGCTACAAGAGAGCCTCATGGGATCGGTGTGCTGGGCTGTCATTTCCTTCCTTTGCTCAGCCAGGTGCTGGGGAAAGTCAGTGTAACTGTATTGGCTGACTCACTGATGGGTTTCGGCACCCATCCTCCAGCTGCAAGCTGGCCTGCTTGGCACAGCCCAGTGCACAACTGAGTCGGTACAGACTTTCCCTGAACTCTTTTCTACCTATAGCATTTCTCTCTGCCTTCCTCCTGGGTGTATGCTTGTCTTATCCCCTTCTGACCTGCAGCCTTGCTCTGTTCCTTTCACTTCTTTCTGCTCAGCCTCTTCTCCCCTAGTTAAGCTCCTCTTGACAAATTTGACAGTAACGTGCTGTTTGCTGCCACCATTCACTTGCACGCTCACTTCCTGCATCTCTAGTGCCAGCTCAGACAAGGGTGGTTGTTCGTGGCATCTACTGCAGTCTGTACTGTGGTCAGTTGTGCTCCAGACTTGGCTGCTCCGCAAGCATAGCTGTAATAGGATTAATAGTGCACAAGTCATTAGCTCTCCCTTGTTAGCGGTGCCTAAATACAATCGCAGTGCCTATGAATAGGGCCATTTCTGCGGGGAGAGCATCTCATTTACCCTGTTTGCTTCACCCCAGTTACAGCTTTAAACTCCGAAGAAGAGAATGATCCTCCAACCTACAAGGAAGCCTTCCCTCCGCTCCCTGAGAAAGCACCATGTTTGGAAGCTGCCCAGGAACCTGCTGGGCCCTGGAGCAAAATCCGACCAATAAAGGCTTCTGTCATCACTCAGGTTGGTGGGAGTGGGTGTCTTATCTCCCTCCTTTTCCCCCTTCCAAAAAGCAGGTGAAGTGAAGCTTTCCCTGGAGTATGAAATCCTTCAAGTGTCAGATTGACAACCTCTTTGTTGTACTTTACCCTGGGGCATGAGGAGGGCTGCAGCTGAGAGCTAGGACTGCTCTGGAGGGAGGCGGATGTTGGAAAAACGTCCAGAAAAAGCTCTGCATCCCTGTTCCACAAATAACTGGAACAGGCCTGAAGGGGGAATTGCAGAATTCAAGTAGTGAGCACTAATCCATTAAAGTATTCCCCCTGTAGCACGTACTTTGGGAAGACACCCAGTGTGGGACAGACTGCCTGCTGCAATGCCCCCGCGCTTTCTCTGGTCACAGCTAGTGTCACCCCTGGAAAAGGCTGATGGGTTGCACACACCTGGGAACTTAATATGCCAGTAAAGTCCTGTATGGCAATAAGAGGGAGGCTCTGTCAATCACAAGCATACTGACTGCTTGCTGTGTCTTTCTTTTATCTGTCCTGCGGCTGAGCAGGTGTTTCATGTGCCACTGGAGGAGAGGAAATACAAGGACATGAATCAGTTCGGAGAAGGCGAGCAGGCCAAGATCTGCCTTGACATCATGCAGAAGACAGGAGCTCACCTGGAGCTGTCTCTCGCAAAGGACCAGGGCCTTTCGATCATGGTCTCTGGCAAGCTGGAAGCAGTCATGAAGGCTCGGAAGGAGATTGTCGCTCGGCTGCAGACTCAGGTGAGGGCATTGAACTGTTTCTCACTTCATCTTTGCTCTTCCCCAAGACTCACAAATGCTTTGAGACCCTCGTGTGTGTGTGCTTATAAGCCAAAGAGGTGTTATTAGATGACTAATTCAGCGTTGCCATATATTTTCAAAGCACACAATTGGCAACTTGGAATGGAAATGAGGCTTAAAATAGGGTTCAAAACTAATTACAGGCCATGGTGTTGCATGAAGGGTGGAGTCTGCAATCTCTGAACACTTGAATTGCAAACAGTGACTTTGTGCTGAGGTGCTGGTGCCGGAGGGGGTGCAGGTCCCTCGCACAAAGGTAGTAGTGTGTGAGAATGGGACTGTGCTTTCTCTGAAGTCCCTCAGAGGAGAGCGTGGAGGGATGGGAGAAAGAAAAGTAGAGAAGAGGAAGTTCTGCCAAAAGTTGAAAGCCTCAGGATTGTGTAACTCAAGCCACACTGGTAAGGAGCCAGAGCCCTGTTGTTTCTCCTTTCAGTCCTATAGGTTTTGATTTCTTACCTTCAGATTCTTGAGTTCATAATCAAGATGGTAGTTCTTGTTAGGATATAACACAGCCAGGTTTTAAAGTGTAATGTCAAAAGTAGTTAATGCAGTAGTTAATACCATGTCTGCTTAGTGATGTTCCGCCCATGTGTCATACCCTGCCAGAGGGAAGGGAAAGGGACAAACCCTGCATAATGTGTATCTGAAAAAATAGTTCAGGTCGTACTGCCGCAGATTCGTGACCCACTGTCCTCAAATATACCTCCTGCTGCCCTGGCCCCAGGTCTGGAAGGTGTGTCTGTCTTCCCAACTTCCTCTGGGCTTGCCTGCCTTCAGTACAGGGACACAGAGTTGAAGAGTCACACCGAGTGATCTTTTGCTTATTTTTATTTTTCCCATTGTAGCTTGAATTTTAAGTGTCTGATTACTGTTAGTAGTTACATACTCACAGGCATCAGGAGCATGGTAGCAATCATAAGCTACCAGGTCAGTAAAAACTCAGCAAGAAGGGAAGAAATCAGGGATCCCTGTTTCAAACCATCCCTTTACCGCTATATCGAGAGAAGCTCTTGGGACCCCTTTTCCAAGAGAGGCCTTCTAGAAGCAGTCCCAGGAGCAGTACTTAGTAGCAGTAAGCATCTCCTAGCTGTCTGCCTGCTGGAATAGGTTTCTGGTGTTGAATTTCTGTTTCCTAGGAGTCAGACCGTGTCTTGTTCTCTGTAGTCTTGGCAGCAGATGTCAGAGTTCGGATAAACTCCACCCATGAGCCATCATCTCAGTTGTGTCTGGTACTGCTCCAGTACCTCTCTCCAGGAGAATAGGCACCTCCTTGTATGTGCCGAAAGGCTTTTGCTAATTCAGAGTACCAGTCCTGGGCTAACGGAAGGGTTTTGAAGGAAGGGTGAGTTTTAGACTCCTGATCTACAGGCACTGTAGATCAACTGTTCTGGTACAGTGTCAGTCCTCAGACAATGTGCTGGGAAGGCGTTGTGTTTGCTCCTCAGTGGTACTGCTAACTTGCTTTCTCTGGCTCTGTTCCTGTGGATCTGCCATGCAGGCAAGGGTTCTCACAGATGCTTGGTTCTTGGTGTTGCAGGCTTCAGCAACAGTTGCCATCCCCAAGGAACACCATCGTTTTGTCATTGGAAAGAATGGCGAGAAGCTGCAGGACCTGGAGCTCAAAACTGCAACCAAAATCCAGATCCCCCGCCCAGATGACCCCAGCAACCAGATCAAGATCACCGGCACTAAAGAAGGGATTGAGAAGGCCCGACACGAGATCCTGCTTATATCTGCTGAGCAGGTACTTCAGTACTGTGATCTCCCTCATGGCATTAGCTGGACAGCCATTTTGCTTCTCCATGGTATATTAGATGTTTGTAGCCTCCATGGCCACAGTCAGTGGCTAATACATTAGTCTGAATGGAGATGTATACTGTGCCACTGGCTGTACAAGCACCGTGGCCAGCTTCTACAACTTGTGGTTCTCCATTTTGTCCATGTCTGAAGTCAGATAAGCGTGTTTCACATTCAAAGTGAACCATATTAGATGCCAGCTGAGGTAAGGCAGGAGATTACAGAGGTGAATACCGTATATCGTCATCAGCAACAACAGTATTTGTAGATTGAAAGGGATGGAGATCTACAAGCCTGCAAACTGAAAAGGGTGCTTGGGCCAGAGTGTCAAGCAGTGGGAACTTAGCTGTGTCTGGCAGAGACTGTAATATGGAGGGCAGTTCCCACCGCGGTCTGTTCTGGGCTTTTGCAGGATAAGCGTGCTGTGGAGCGGCTGGACGTGGAGAAAGTGTACCACCCCTTTATTGCTGGCCCTTACAACAAGCTGGTGAGCGAGCTCATGCAGGACACAGGGACGCGCATCAACATTCCTCCACCCAGCGTCAACAAGACAGAGATAGTCTTCACAGGAGAAAAGGAGCAGCTAGCCCAAGCTGTGGCTCGTGTTAAGAAGATCTATGAGGAGAAGGTATGGGTGGCCCATAAAGCTTCCCGTCTTCCCCCCAGCTGCTTGTAGTCCCTCTTTCCTTCTTGTTGTACTTTTGTGCATCCCTCTGCATCCTCCTGATGTCAGCTCTGGCTCAGCAGCCCTTGCAGTACCTCACCCTGGACCTTACCATTTCCTCATTTGGCAGAGTGGGACTTGGGGCGATACTACCAGGGAGGTGACCGATTTCTTGCTTTTCTGTGTCATGGGAATTAGCAGACCACAAAGAGCTCCCTTGGCTCTTGTTCACGCAGGTGCTACTAAGGAAGGAAGTGTCTACAGTGGTGGCCAGCTGACAGTATCAAAGTTGCTACAAAAGTAGAAGTTGCTGAAGAGTGAATTTCACTCCAGTTTATTTTCCACAGCCCCCATTGCTGTGAATATCCTTGTTGTGGGTTGTTGGGCAGTTTTTCCTCGTGGTTAGGTCTGTATTTGTACCAGGCTGGATTTCAACAGAGATAATCAGCTTACAGCCTCATAGCCTACATGGTGTTTCATTACAGCACTGCCTGGGGGACTACGGGATGTCAAGCCCCGTTGGGCAGGAGAGGTTGTGTGTACGTGGTCTCTTCCATGTAGTGTCCCGTGGAGCTTGACACAGGATACTAGTTTCTGTACATCACCTGTGAACTTTTGAGCACAAAGCTTTCTGTGGGCAGGGGCCCAAAGGGTGCTAGGGTACGCAGAACCACTGTGCTCACCTTTACTTTGCTCTTTCCTGGGTGCAGAGTTTCACTGCATCTTGTGCCTCTTCCTTTCGCTCTTGTCCTTCCCTGCCCCCTTGTGATTGATGCCCCAGTGCCTCTGCCCCTACAGAAAAAGAAGACTACTACCATTGCAGTGGAGGTGAAGAAGTCCCAGCACAAGTATGTCATCGGCCCCAAGGGGAATTCCCTGCAGGAGATCTTGGAGAAAACTGGAGTCTCTGTCGAGATCCCACCCACTGACAGTAGCTCGGAGACGGTGATACTGCGAGGCGAGCCTGAAAAGCTTGGGCAAGCATTGACTGAAGTCTATGCAAAGGTACTGACAAGATGGGCTAGGCCTTCTTTGAAAGTCCCTAGAGATACATCCGTGAGCACTGACTGGTGTAGGGGGGTGGTCTCTGTTGACCTGTTGGAGATGCAGCTTAGAAGTCAATACTGAGGGTGCAGCATGGGAATTTGGCACTGAATTTTTGTGAAGACCTCTTCCAGTCTGTCCATCAAACAGCTTCTCTGTTTTTCTGTCTCTCAGGCCAACAGTTTCACCGTCTCCTCGGTCTCTGCCCCCTCTTGGCTTCATCGTTTCATTATTGGAAAGAAAGGACAAAACCTGGCCAAAATAACTCAGCAGATGCCAAAGGTATGGATGAGCTGGTTAGCTTAGCACCCTCTGATGTAGAATGTGGTTTAGCCCAGATCACTTTTTGTAGAAGAGAGAAATATGTTCTAGCGTGGGGAAAACCAGGGAGGAAATGACACAGATCTTAATATTAAGGGGAGCCTCTCTTTTACTGCTGCAAACACTACTCATCCTATGTTATTCTCATGGGTTGAGCCCTTCAAAGGAAGCTTTATGTGGAACTATTTTGAGAATTGATGTAGTAGGATACCTGGAAATGTTGACTTCAATGAGGCTTCTCCGTGGTATCCCTCATATCTAGAGAAAGACCAGGTGAGTAACGTCTCCAAAGCCCTCGCAGACTCCAGGACAGCACCAAAGCCTTGGGCTCTAGACTGATATGGCCAGAATTCTAAACTACCTACTTCTGAAGCCATGGGGACGATGTGTGTACTTTGTGAGAAGGAAGCCGTCTCCTAGTGGCAGGGTTTGATAGTATAGGCCTGACTAACAGCATTGGCCTGGCTTGTATCTTGGAAATTCTTACTGGATTCATTGCCTTGCATCTCAAGGTTCACATCGAATTCACTGAAGGAGAGGATAAAATCACTTTGGAAGGACCTACAGAAGATGTGAATGTGGCCCAGGAACAGATTGAAGTCATGGTCAAGGATCTGGTAAGTTGGTGTTACTCGTTCCAGTACATAAGAAGAAAGAGGGGGAAGAAGGAGTAACAGAGCAGAGATGATGTGTGTATCACATCCACATGATGTCTTGATGTGCTTAACAGAACTTGCAGAAGACAAGCTGTGTGGCAGATGGATGAAACCCTTGGTTATGAAGCTTGTCTGTAGCATTCTTAAAAAATCAGCAGCACGTGTTAAATCTTTTGAGGCAGCGAAGGAAGGATTCTCTTTCAGTCGTAGCTGGAGAGGCTTAGCAGTTCCTTTAAATGTTTCACAAGCGTGGTGCTCTCAGCTCAAAGCAGGGGAGTGCTTCTGCTCTGCTTAATAGCAGGAGGAGTGCTTGCAGCTGACTACTGGAGAGTCAGCGCCAATACTGGCAGTAGGCAGTTACTTAGGGCACAAGACAGGAGAGGTGGTGGCCTACCCTCCCTAGCCCTGTATAATTCTTTATAGATCAACCGGATGGATTATGCAGAAATCAACGTTGACCACAAATTCCACCGACACCTCATTGGCAAGAATGGAGCTAACAGTAAGTGGGGTGCCTTTCTAATCCTTCCTATCCTGGGCTCTCCGTGTTTAGTAGATCCTGTCGGGGCTCTGGAGCTCCTCCAGTGTGCTGTCTTCATCACGGAAATTTCCTCTGCCCTTCTGTGGTGTTAGCACAAGGAGATAAATGGCCAGTGAGGTCTTGGGATGGCTTTAATGTGTGAAAGTGTCTTGGGAGGTTGAACAGTGGTGGAATCACTTTGCCATGTCCTGGAGGAAATGTGTTGGAGTCTTTTTGGATAGAGAATTGTCTTTTTTTTCCTCTTTTTTTTTTTATTCTTTTTTGAAGTTGCTCTATGCGAATTACATTTTAGCAGCCAATTGGGGGTGATAGAAATCTGCCTGGTGACTTTCTCCCCAAAAACCAATATGGGATTAGAAATGACCGATCATCTTAAACAGCCTCTAAGCACTGATAATCAGGGTGCCTTGCTTCTAAGTCTTTGCCTAGCAGACTGTGTCACCACAGCCCTTCCCTTGAAGTTAACAGGATTAAGGACCTCTACAAGGTGTCTGTGCGCATTCCCCCGGACAATGAGAAGAGCAACCTGATCAGAATTGAAGGAGACCCACAGGGGGTCCAACAGGCCAAGAAAGAGCTGCTGGAACTCGCTTCCCGTATGGTGAGTAGGATGTGATGCTTGGGAGGCTGCAGGGTTTGGGCTTGTATCTTCCCTTGTAACCTTCTGGTGCAAGTGTGTGCCCCTTGCCCACCGAGCGCTTACATCTCATCACAAGTGCGAGTTCTTATTCCCAGATGTGTTCCTCTGTTCCCTTGGATACCCTTTCTCTGTCAACCTAGAGTGAATTTTGTCTAGAGGAGAAAAGAGGGACAATGCTGGCAAGTAAACTGTCAGGCAGCAAACTGGTAAATAAAAGTACGTGGCTCTCCAGCTGAATGCTCAGTGAAAACTCTGTTCTCATCAGGAAAATGAACGCACCAAGGACCTAATAATTGAGCAGAAATTCCACCGGACCATCATTGGGCAGAAGGGCGAGCGGATCCGGGAAATCCGGGAGAAATTCCCAGAGGTAAGGCTTTCTAGGAGATGAGGACTCCAGAGTGGGTATTTCCTATTTGGGTAGTAGACACATTGTTGCTGCAGTCATAAATTTAGTGGCATATTAGTATCTAATATGTATGAGAAGATAGTTCTTTTGACCAGAGGCTACTAACACAGTTACCCTCTTCCATATGGGAAAGGGGATGCATAGGATCCCCCCAACCTTTGCATGTGTCTGGCACAGCAGTTCTTGCATTTGCTTGAGCTGACTGTAAATGACCCCCTCCTGCAGGTTATCATCAACTTCCCAGACCCTGCGCACAAAAGTGACATCGTCCAGCTTAGAGGCCCCAAAAATGAGGTGGAGAAGTGCACCAAGTACATGCAAAAGATGGTGGCAGACCTGGTAAGCGGGACGTCTGTCTGCTGTTCTCTCCTACATGCCTGGAGAACCCTGGAATATAGCAGAGCTGTTACTGACTTGGCTAGGGCTGAAACACCTCGAGATGAGGGAGCGTGGGACACTGCTCTGGCTGGATTGGGGCAGGGAGGTGTAATACCTGTTACTTAAGGGCTCTAGGGGAAGGTTATTTATTTTTATTCTTACAAGTCTCTTGTGTAGAGAACTTCCTTGGGTTTAAGCCTATTGTCAGAAGCTTGTTTATCAAGTTCCTGGGACAGGGCCTCACTTGCCATGACAGTGTAATCTTCAGTTCTCCCTTCCTTTCTCCCTTAGGTTGAAAACAGCTTTTCTATTTCTGTCCCCATCTTCAAACAATTCCACAAGAACATCATAGGGAAAGGAGGTGCCAACATCAAGAAGGTGAGATATTGTTCCTATCTCCAGTGCTCATTATGGTAACTGCCTGCAGCTAAATCCCACTCGCTGCTCTCTCCTGCTCATTGGTGATGTCAAATATAACCTCCAAGGGCTTTTTTCTGATATGGGACGCCTCTGAGATGATTTTATTTTTTTCCTTTGTCACAGATCCGTGAAGAAAGCAACACCAAAATTGATCTCCCAGCAGAGAACAGCAACTCGGAGACAATTGTTATCACAGGCAAGAGAGCAAACTGCGAGGCTGCTCGCCACAGAATTCTTGCCATCCAGAAGGAGCTGGTAAGTGAAATGACGGGCCTGTTGCAGATGAGGGACTTGAAAATGTTGCTAGAAGACATAAATACAGAAGAAGTGCTTGTAGTGGGGGAGGGCAGGGAGACAAATGTGTGTGTCAGTCTGTTCTTGACTCTTAAACATAAGTTTGTGGCTGCTCATGGGTCAGGAGTAGCCAGTCTCAAACCTTCTGGTCAGGCATTTCTTACAGCTCCATGTAGCTGCTGGCAACACGGGAATGAGTCAAGCTGCAGAAATATATTTGCACCCACTCTGCTTACCCTCTAACAGCCTGGTACTGTCCTCTCTTAGGCCAACATCACAGAGGTGGAGGTCTCTATTCCTTCCAAACTGCACAATTCCCTCATTGGCGCCAAAGGCCGCTTCATCCGCTCCATCATGGAGGAGTGTGGTGGAGTCCACATCCACTTCCCCACCGAGGGCTCTGGCAGTGACACTGTGACCATCAGGGGCCCAGCCCAGGATGTGGAGAAAGCCAAGAAACAGCTGCTCCACCTGGCAGAGGAGAAGGTGAGCCTTGTCTCACAGGGGAAGGAGCAGATTGTTTGGCCAGCCATTTCCTTCTGGGGTTTGGTGATCCCCTCTGCCTGCTGGGAAGCCTCTGGCATCAGACAGCCTAATCCTTTTTTGAGGGATTTGAGTACAGTTTGGATGATTAAAAGAAAACTATGCTTGCATCCGTGTGACAATGAGTTCTTTTCCCATGGGTAGAAGAACTGGCTGTAACGCTGCTCTGCCCAGGCTGGGGACATACTCAAGGGGTTAAGGCTCCCTACTCCAGTGGTTTGAATGCTGTTGGGTATCCACACTTCTCTGAAACAGCTTACTCTTACTCTGCGTATCTCCTTTACTTTTTTCTTGATCTCTGAATTCCAGCTCCAGTTCTTCCATTTCACTGCATATATCCAGGTTTGAGAACTTTGGGTTACAAGACCTTGCTCTGAGTTGTGGCTGACTGACTGACTGGTCATTTTAATAGCAATAAAAATCCCTTTCTAATATCAGCATGTGGACGTGTTCTCCTGATCGGTTGGTTGCCTCTGCTGCCTGGCTTGCAGCAGTGAGTTAGCAAATGGTTATGCTGCTTTGTGTGAAAGACCCTTCTCCTAGGGAAGTCTTTTCTGCTCATATTCTCACCAGTCATGCTGAGTGTAAAGTTAGCTTTTCAGCCCTGAGAACATCTTTCGGGTAGTGGTTTTAATTTAAGACATTGTACACCTTTTTGACTTTGACAGCATGCTGCATCTACCTTGCCTTTGCAACACTGTGTATGTGGGTGCAGGTAACATACCTACATGCTGATGTGTATTTTCTATATATTGACATGTTCCGTGGGTATCTGACTCCTTTCAGCAAACGAAGAGTTACACTGTGGACCTACGTGCAAAGCCTGAGTACCACAAATTCCTTATTGGTAAGGGCGGTGGCAACATCCGTAAGGTGCGTGACAACACTGGGGCCCGCATCATCTTCCCAACCTCTGAGGACAAGGATCAGGAGCTGATCACTATCATGGGAACAGAGGAAGCTGTCAAAGAGGCACAGAAGGAGTTGGAGGCCCTCATCAAGAACCTGGTATGAACTACTTTTTCTACTTTCTTGCCTATCGCTGTAGCAAGATGTAACGAATCAGCGTGGAGGACCTGCTTGTCCTAAAACCGTCTGCTGCCCTTCATGGGAGCTCAGGAAGATCCTCCTTGCGGTCACATGTTGGGGTGAGGTTGTAAACTGATTGCTGTTGAGTGCAGCAAACTCATGCTTATCACCAGGACACGCAGAGTTGACTGACTGTCGTCTGTTGGCAGGATAACGTGGTTGAAGACTCCATGGTGGTTGACCCCAAGCACCACCGCCACTTTGTCATCCGGAGGGGCCAAGTTCTGCGTGAGATTGCAGATGAGTATGGTGGTGTGATGGTCAGCTTCCCGCGCTCTGGCACCCAGAGCGACAAAGTCACCCTCAAGGGAGCCAAGGACTGTGTGGAGGCAGCCAAGAAACGCATCCAGGAGATCATCGAGGACCTGGTATGTCGCAGGAAAACTGTTTCTTCTACACTTTGTTGCTTCAGCAGTGCCCTCTTTGAGCCTGCTGTACAGCCAAGCTTTATGTGAACAACTCCCACAGTAGTTCTGGGATTTGAAGCTTTGCTGTCCACCTATAGGGTCTACAGACTTTAGGTCTCGGCCTGGGGAATGGCAGCTGGCTCCAAAATGGCAATGCTATATGAAGGAATTGCCTCCTCTGACCATCTTCTTGGGTTTTAGGAGTCAAAATAGGAGACCTTTCCTTGAGGTCTACTTCTAGACATTAAAAGATTGGAGCCTTCTTGTGCCTCTCCATGCCTGCTTTGGGCAGTGGTTGCTCTCTTTGGGGTTTCCTGTGCTGTTAGTATTGGCTTTTGGAAGCAGCCAGCTGTCAAACCTGTTCCCTTCCTTCCTTCTTTATCTTTTTCCTTCTAATGCTTCCTCCCCTTCACTGTAATACAGAGCTTGAGCTTTGGTCTCAGAAGCCTTTGACATCATGCCTTGGAGGCAGCCTTCATTAAGAAATCCTCTGCTAACTTCTCTGAGAGAGGAAAGATTCTAGGAAACTTCCGGTTCTTCCCCTGTCAGCAGCTGTTAACTTTTCTAACTCCTCTCTCTGTCCATTATGGATTTCACCTTGCACAAGCATCTTGTTTTCTGATGTGAAAGAGGCTGCATCGTGATAGAGCTTCTCTGCTTTCTCACAGGAAGCTCAAGTGACAATCGAGTGCACCATCCCACAAAAGTTCCACCGCTCCATTATGGGCCCCAAAGGATCCCGGATCCAGCAGATCACCCGAGACTATGGTGTCCAGATCAAATTCCCTGACAGGGAGGAGAACCCAGGTATACCCATGGATGCATGTTTGCATGGTAGTTGGGGTGATCAAATGAGCATAGCATAGTGTAGCCTGCACTCCCTGTCAGTGGAGATGTTCTACTTAAAATCAATGGAGAACTGACCCCAGGTGTTCCCTGCAGTGTCTTTGAATTCTGGGCTCAGCATCAGCCTTGCTCTCTTGGGAAGAGGGGACAGTTTTAGGAGGTAAACACACAGACTTGTGTGTTCTAAATGTGTTCTCACCAGAGCGCAGGGAGTACGAGGACCTACCCCAGCAAAAAGGGCTCTCCAGGTTACCAAGGTCTCTCTGAGCTCTCATGCTCTCGGTGCTGGGTATACTGAATTCAGCACAGCCTAGCACCAGCCGTCCTGCCGCAACATCCAGCGCTGTGCTGGAGAACTTTCCTGTTGGGGGAGAAACTGCCAGCTTTACTTGTTGCCTCTGCTGACGTAGGAGTGCAGCCCTTGCTTCCACAGTGCAACTGCAGGTCCTTTCTGTGCAGTGTCTCAGTGGATGTTCTTGTTTCGCTCATTCCAGGCTAAGCCATGGCAAGCTGCCTGTGCTAGGAGTGATCTCGATAGCAGCCTGAAGTGTCTGACTTCTTGTGGCAAAGCCTGAGGATCTCGAGGGGGAGATAATGAGCAAGGAGGGGACTCTGTGCATTTAACAGGAGATTTTCCATATTCCCAGCCCCTGTTGCAGAGCCAGCTGTACAGGAGAATGGTGAGGAAGGTGGGGAAGGCAAGGATGGGAAGGATGCAGATCCCAGCTCTCCAAAGAAGTGCGATATCATCATCATCTCTGGCCGCAGAGAGAAGTGCGAGGCAGCAAAGGAGGCGCTGCAGGTAAGTGACTTTCTAAGACCCTTAGCCCTGTAATGTAGTGAGGCCCTGATGCAAGAAGCTCACTGCAGACTTTAGTGGTGGTAATAAAAGCTACTGGGTCAAGACTGCAATCCAGGTGGTCACTGATGCTAACTGTGGAGGTGGTGTGTACCGCTCAAGGGAAGTCCTCTCTGATTTAGCCTAGTGGCTTGAGTCGTAGTGCCTGACCTTGCAATTGCTAGAGCTTGTAGGCAACCCTGAGTTACTTGCCATAAAAGCATGACATGCATGTTTTATGGAGCACAGCTGGAAAGAGAAGGGAGTCTGAGGCTGAATCATTCTAGCTTTAGCAGACCTTGCCGTGCTCCTTCAGCGATGTTTTCCAAGTCTCTGCTAGATGGAAGCTGAGGATGAAAACAGCCTGTCCCCAGAGGCAGGATTTAAGACTGCTTGTTTGGAAAAAATGCTTTAACACCCAAAAGGTCATCTTGGCGTTCACAGCCGCTCTCTCTTCCTGTAGAGTTTGTAGACTGACTACAAGGGAATCTACTTCAGTTCAGCCACATGTTCTTTTGGGCAAGTATATGGCAAGCTGAAAGACAGGAGAAATCTTTCAGCTGGTGAACTATGCTCTCTCCCCTGCAGGCTCTGGTTCCTGTCACCATTGAGGTGGAAGTTCCCTTTGATCTTCACCGTTACATCATTGGCCAGAAAGGAAGTGGGATCCGCAAAATGATGGATGAGTTTGAAGTAAGTGGTTGCCCTTCCTCCCATCTCCTGTGCCCTGGAGAATCTGTAAGTGACCACGGTTGTGGTGGTGGCAATCAGTTGTGACATACTCAGGACTGTTGTGGTTTGACCATGCAATATAGTCTCTGTAACAAGAAAATGAGACCTGTGTCATTTAGTCCCTGGCTGTGGGGCTCGGTAGGTTTTGTGTTGAAGCTGTGTGATCGGTGTCGATGCTGCAAGTGTTGCATGACTTGTTTGGTGCCTACAGGGATTCCTCATCAGTGTGAGAGTTGATTTCCTCCTAGGCCATGGGAAACAGCTCTGCTGTGCCTGCCCTTTGGGACAATTCCCCAGAAGTCCATGGGGACTCTTGGGGCTGATGCAGGTTGGCTGCAGGCAGCACTGTTGAACATGTATTTGTTTCCTAGCCTCTCTGGGCTGGTACAGGGACTGCTGGGGGCTGAAACCTCACAGCAAAGCAATCTGATAACAGCAGAAGAAACAGGGTTCTAGTCAAAAAACATCTAGACATGGTCCCATGCAGCTGACTGTAGGTGGCCCTGCTTGAGCAGGGGGTTGGACTAGATGACTTCCAGAGGTCCCTTCCAACCTCAACCGCTCTGTGGTTTAGGCTGTCTGGGTGGGAGTTGGTCTTGGCAGCAGGGGAGATCAGTGAGATGCCAACCTGCGGTGATAGGCATCACAAGTGATACAAAAGGAGCAGTAATACAAAATGATAATCACTGCTTGTTACTCAGGTGAACATCCAGGTCCCTGCTCCTGAGCTGCAGTCCGATATCATCACCATCACTGGGTTGGCTACCAACCTGGACCGTGCCAAGGCTGGGCTGCT